CATTTCATAAGATGAATTATTTATACTTTTTGTAATTTTGTTTTTAAACTGAATGTTCTCGGGGATTTTTCCTATTCTTGTTTGTTCTTTTGATTTTCTGACCTTGTTAAGCATTATATTATATTGTTTTAGATAATTTAATACATACCTAATATTTTTATTCTTTCATCAATGCCTTCTAATTGGTCAATATCATGACTTGCTATAGGATTGAAAGTTTTAGCATCATAACTGATAGCCGCGTTATCAAAAGCACTCACGGGGTCGCCTGTCATTCTAAATCGTTTGTGCTGTTCCGTCGGTCTATCTAAACCAATCATAGGTGAAAAGAAACTTATTACAGGAGCGTTATATGTTCTTGTTTTATAATTTTTATCCTTGAATTCTTTATTTAGTTCTAAAACAACGCTACCTCCCATACTGTGCCCTAATAGCGTGTCCACTTGTGGATTTTCCATTAATACCCGTCTCGCTTCCTTGTAGCGATCCATCTCTCTAATTCCGCCTGTTTTAAGATTTGTAAAATTTTGTCGCCAGTCCCTTGAAGATGTTGTCCCCGCCACATACATTTTATTTCCCTTTACAAAAATTTTATTATCACGATCATATGCATATTTGATACCTTGAGTATTTGATATTTTGCCGTTGTGTTCCAACATCTTATTTAATTGTCCTTCAATCTTTGTCATTATATAAAAAGATTATAAATTAATTTATCAAATATAATATATATTATTATGAGTATCAGACCATTAACATATAAAAAAGTTTATGTAAATTCAAAATATCGCACATCAAACAGTCGCAGTATCAGCGACTTTCAAATAGAATTAAGGGAAACATTTGAAATTCCTGATGGAACGATTATGCAAGTTCACGAGTTAGCAATTCCTAACACATGGTATTCAATAAACGAAAATAATAGAAATTTGTATTTTCAACATAGAGTATTAGCACCAGCAACACCGACAGGAACAACTTATATAAGAGTTGAAATACCACTAGGAAATTATACACCACCGGAACTAGCATCTACAATACAAAGAGAATTAAATTTCTTGTTTGATGTTACAGGTAGAGATAATACATACACCGTATCATATAATACAATTTCAAATAAAATAACAATTGAATCAAATTATACTGAAATTATTTTTATTGTTCTTCCTGATAGTATGATTGCTAGTAACGTAGGGTCTTTTTCAAATAATGTTGATTTGAATAATTTAAACAGTATAAATAGTGTTTTAAATACACCTCTACCTCTAGATTTTTCAACTTCTACAGTGTCGTGGGTTTCTGGGTTTATAAATTTATTGGCACATCAAGATATTTATATATCGTGTCCTGAATTATCAAATAATAATTTTCACAGTCCATCAACATTTTCAAATGCTATAGTGAAAAAAATCCCCGTCAATGCTTCATTTGCTAGTATTATAAATGATCCGTATGGCGTTACAGACTATGATTATATAAATGTCTCGCGTCGTTCAATAAGAAAACTAACATTTAGAATAACTGATGAAATAGGTAACCTTATAAATTTTAACGGTGTTAATTTAAGTTTTTCTTTACTCTTCCATAATACAGACGCTACATGATTTTAAATAGAAAATATATAGAATGTTATATATGTCAGAACAAAACTCAGAAAATGTTGTAGTTAACGATGAACCTGAAAACGAAGCAACTGAAGCACCGCCGGAAACAGAAATTGAAAAAATTGAACCTGTAAAAGAAGAACAAAAACGAGTAAAAATTACAGAAGTTATTAAAAATCCTACAGAATGTAAAGACTGTAAAAAACCTATGACAACTAAAACTTTACGATATAGTCATCCTAGCGTGTGTGAAAAGAAACCGAGTAATATTATTGATAAACCAGTTAAAAAATACGCTCCCAGAAAAAAACAAAAATAAATGTTGAACCCTTAGCACCAGAACCACAAGAAAATAATATAGTAGAACCACCACAATATCAAGAAAAACAATTACCTCTTTCTGAAGCAATGCCACCTAAACCACCACAACAAATACAACAACAACAATTAAACCCTTATGCAAATTTGACACAACAGCAATTGTTACAATTGCAAATGAGATCAATGAACGCCGAAATTATGAGAAGAAGACAGGAAAAATCAGATAATATGTGCAAAGCTATGTTTCAGGCTAGAAGTAAAAAATCTAAATAATAATATATATAAATGGTTCTATATAATAGGTTTAAATTTCAAAAAAATAAAAAACTACATAAGAAAAAATCATTAGATAATCCTGTGGTTAATTCATCTGAAGATCTGGTATATCGTCAACATAATATTGACTATCTAATGAACTTGAAAAAACAATTAGAAGCGAGACATGAAAAGGCTAGTAACATGGCATTTAAACGAAAATTATTAGAGGGTATCATGAAATCAAATTATGAAACCGAGATGATCCGATTGAAGGGGGAAATGCATAATCCACGAATACCCGAGACTTCACTAGCACATCTTAAGAAAAGGTATGATACATTAAGCGAATTAAGCGAGACTATTTTCTAAAACAATATATAAAAAAGAATGGTAGTTAAAAATGCTGGAATACAATTTCACAGAAGATCTAGATATGAAGATATTTTAGAATTGGTCAACGATAACGAAGATGCATTAAAACCCTTTCCTAACAGAGATGCTGTATTTTATAAACAAAGCAATAAAGGAACTCGTTTTGATGGCAAAGATCATTTGGATAAATTGAAAATTCAAGAAAAACAAATCGCTGAACGAATAGCTAGGGATCTCATGCAACGACAATACGCGGAAGATAATGATATGACCCACAGATCATTATTTACACAACACGACAGACCAGAACCAGAACAACCGAGACAACCAGAAATGTATGATATAGGAGGTGACATAGGGTCTATAATTGAAGAATTCGGAACACCACAAGACCAACAATTAGCACAAATTAATCAAACATTAGGAAACATAGCAACTGCACAACAGAGCAACCAACAGGGAATTATTCAAGCACACCAACAGCAATTAGAAAGAGAAGAAGAAGGAGGTTCAGGAATTTTAAGAAGTCTAGGAAGGGGAGCTTTAAGTGTAGGCAGTGGAGCTTTAAGAGTAGGAAGCAATGTTGCAGGTAACATGATGTCAGGCATGGATTTTGGTTCTTCACTTGTTACTGGACTTTCGCAAGAAATGGCACAAATAGCAATGAATAGAATGCTACCACAACCTAGACCGCTACTAGATTTTTCAGGAACGGCAAGAGACGGACAATATACAACATATGACCCAACGCCAATACAAAACACGCAGTATTTACAACCAACAACAATATTACAACCACATCAACCTAATGTAGGAGCAACACAGCAACCGTTACCTGTGGCATCATCAAGTCAACCCACAACAACAGAATTACCTAGACCCAGACCATCACCAGCACCACCACGACCTAATGTTCAACACGGCGGTTCATCAAGTTCAAGCGGAAACGCGCCACCACCACAACAAACAGATGAACCAGTAAGGAAAGGGTCAAGAAAAACTAAAAAAGATAAAACTATTTTAAAAGACAGCCAAGAAGAAGAAACAACAACCGGAACAACTTTAATCAAACCAAGTAAAATAGGAATACAAAAAATACGCGAGATATTTGAAGAAGCAAACAATAGAAAAACAATAACTAACGCTACATACAGAAAATACCGAAGTGCATATAACAATTGGATAAAATCAGCAGGAGATAAAGAAATGAAAAAAATGTATCTTAAAGAATTAAAAGACATATATAGACAAAATATTTACTTAAAATAAAAAATATAAATATTTCAATAAAAACATAATTTATTGAAATATTTATTATTCCAATCACCCTTCCCAGCATTGTTTTTGCTCAGCGAGGCGATGCTTCATTCCCCGAGGCTGTGCTGTGCCATCGCTCGCGAGGATCCTGCGTGGGGTTGAAATAAAAAACGAACTACAAAAAACATATTATAATTACTAACCAAAAGATAAGGAAAAATATTACCTTTTATAAAATCTGTCCTCCCGTCCATTGGCTTGCAATGGTCTGTGTCATTAACATGTCCTCGTCAGGGAAAAAAGAATAAACCCATACTATTTATTATTTTTGCCAACCCACCTTCAAGAGGACATCAAAAGAAGCAACCACCAGACGATCCAGTAGCCACAGAGCGCCCCACGCTGATGATGGCCACCTTTGCAGGGAAAACAAAAGAATAAAACAAAATATTGTAAAATTATTTACTATATCCAAAAAATATTTTGTAACATCCCACCTCATCAAGTGGTAATTTTTGCCGGACGCCCTCGTTTTTTTGGCGTAGATATAGAAATGGAACTAATGTCCGGCATATCCTCATCGCCATCTTTTTTACCACCATGTCCATCGTCGTCATCGTCGTCGTCGTCATCGTCGTCATGGTGGTTTTCCGTATCATGGCGACGATCTCCATGAACAGGGCATTTACTTAAAGACCCGTATAATTTTTGCCATTGGATATCCCCATTAGAAGAACCCCATAAACTAACAATTAATTTTTCCATAGAGCGTAAAGAATAAGATTTAAGGGCAGTAACCAAAGTCTCTACTTCCCCTAATTGGTCATCTACATAATGAAACAAAACGTCAACCATTTGTTTAACCCTTAATTCCCCGTTATTGCTTTTTGCTAGTTCTTCAATTAAATTAAGTCTTACCTTCCTATCTACAACCCCTAAAATAGCGGTTATGCAACTCTTCGCGTTGGTTTCTGCTAGTTCTAGTATTTGTTTAATACGAGCTATTTGTTCGGTAAAAACCCGTGAAACCACCGACGAAGAGGTGATCCGTGTTTCAAGGCTCCGTGCTTCTTCATTGATAAAACGGATACGCTGGTTTTTAGAAGTATATTTGCTAGTGCATTTGAACCCCATAGCGTTTGATGAAGAAACACGAGCCCTTTTACCCCCTCCTATCTGATAAAAAACTTTATTGCCCTTATCATCCAAGAGATCATCGTGGACACCCTCCTCCTCTTCCGAACTCGCGTTCTCCTCATCCGAAATCGCGTTCTCCGACTCTGAAGAAGAAGAAGCCAACATGTCCATCAGGTGCTGATAATGCGAACAAACCTCGGGTTGATTTTATTATATAGAAAATGATGTAGAAAACATTTATTTGATGTATTATATTACAGATGAGATACTTCCCACATCTGATCGTCTGCACCGATGCCCCATATCGAGCGGATTTTTTCCTTCACGTTGTCGATGGTGTCTGTGCCGTCAACGTCCAATGGGACAGTCAAGCCCGTCATGGTCTTCACGAAGATCTGCATGGCCTCGGTATAAAAATATAGACTTGTATAAAATATAAAACTATATTCAAAATAAACATAAAATATAAAAGTTTATAAAATACAATCCAAGAAACGACGGGGCAAAGCGAATTGAAAAAGTTTCTTGAAACACTCAAAAAACTGGAGCAATAAATGCTACAAGGGGAACAAGATGTAACAATGCACAACCTCTCGTGTCAGACTGCACATGCCGAACTGCACATGACATGTTGCAAAAACAAAAGTTTTAAAAGTTTTAAAAACTAAAATATATAGTATTATATATATATGAAAAAATCAGTTCATGATGAATTGTTTGAAATACTCTACAAACAGGCAAAACATGAATTAGAAAAACTAGAAATTATCAAAGAAAGTAGAGAAAGTAAAATTGTAGAAATAAAACAAAAATGCGTTATAGAAAAAGAAGAACAGGAACATTTAGATAAGGAAATGAAGTATTTAGAAAAACAAATTGAACTACAAAAAGAACTAATAGAATTGTATGAAAATAATAATTCATGAAATGTTATAAATACATATCTAAAGAAATGAAGATAAAAATTTATCACAAAAAATATCACAAAAAATATTACAAAATTTATGAATTTTGTAATAAAATTTATGATAAAATTTTATGAATTTTTTATCATAAATTTCTGAAATTTTAATGGTGAAATGTGCAAGGGTATGATGTCAAAAATGGGCAAAAATTTATGGAAATGTTGAAATCATAGGGTACCCCCTAGGGGAAAAACGTGTGAGGCGTTGGCGGGACGGAGATAAACATGGGGCAAGCCCATACCTAACTCCTAGGCGGGCGGAGCGAGATGGGTTGCATTGATTGTTGGATAGGTCCTTGTTCAGACTCAGATGCGTGGGTATGTACTTAGATCTGGAACATCTCTTTAGTGCTGCAAGGTCTCACATGTTTTCATGTTTTCATCGTGTCACACCTTCCCCGTGAGTCTTTCGTGGACCTGGCCCATCAGCCAGGCACCCAAAACCTACACCCTAAGCCTCACAGGCCAAGCGTCTGCCGCCGCTTCTGCGTCCTCTGGGGTCACCTGCAGCCTCACATCTCTGTGCAGTTGCCTGGCCGTGAGGTCGCGGGTTTTGGGTTTAGTTTCGGGATTGGAAATTAGGGTTCAGAGATTATGATTTACCGTTCGGTTAGGGGTGTTGGGTTTTAAAGACTTTGGGGTTTTGTGCTTTGTGGGAGGTGGTCCCATGGTGATCGCGATTCTAATGCTGGCCACCACAATGCAAGCATGAATGGTGAAAAGAAGCAATCGTATCGGGGCAAGTGATCCTGCTGCGCAAAGCCATGGGCGAGGTGGCAATTCGGTATTTCGTTTCGCCTTCACTCTGCTGTCAAGCCATACCCACCCTCTCTGCAGCAGGCATGAGTCATCATGAGTCAACCAGCTTGCCCGTTGATACCAAAGCATCAACCTTACTTCGAAGCTTTATCATACCTTCAGATGCGAATAACGCCGGAAAACATGTCGCAGGCCGTGAAAAAGTCTGAACCCCAAGCCCGACACCGTAAACCTTAAATCCCCAAGCCCTAAACCCTAAACCTACCGAAGCCCTCTGTGAGCCAACGTGCTCTTCGCCGTCCAGGAACCTCGCCATGCAAGTCCGAGTGTGAGCGCTGGGAGCCCTAAACCCTAAGCCCTAAACCCTAAACCCTAAGCCCTAAACCCTAAGCCCTAAACCCTAAACCCTAAACCCTAAATCCTAAACCCTAAACCCTAAACCCTAAACCCTAAACCTTAAATCTGAATCCTCAGGTCCTACTCCCTCGTGACGCGCTGTTCGCTGCGAGCCTGCGTCGTGGTGGCCAACATCTTCGGACGCGTCGCTCTCTCGGCCACTGGGCTCGGAGGGGCTGTTTGAAAAGTGTGGTCATGTTGAGGTCCGGCTTCTTGTAAGCCAGAACTGACATAGGTACCCTCTACTTGTGGCTGACGGTCACAATGCTCCAGGATAGTGGGGCATATCTTGGGCTTTCGTGCGACTTAAGACACGTTCATGGCAGTTGATCTGGCATTGAATCTAAGAGAATCTAACATCTTGACATATGCTTGAAATCCTTGTATTGAAGACCCTGAAATACCCTGAACTCTTCGCATGGGTGTGCGATTTCGGGTTGCCGGGACTGCAGTTTTGTTGAGCCTGTAGGGTTTAAGGCTTAGGCTTCCAGAGGACTTGGCGAGGTGGACGTGACAATCGGACTGGCGCGAATGAAGACAGCAGTCGTCTTCATCAAAGAACCAGGACATACGTCTGAAGCCTAAACCCTAAGCCCTAAGGCCTTAGGGACATCCTGTGTCTCGGGAGCCTTGGTTGTCTATTCACCAAATTTTCCACATTTGGATCCATGTACCCAACTGGTAGGGCAAGGGTACCATCAGGTTCTGTACTCTAGAGTTATAGAGCGTACCTTGTGGTTTAATTGTTCGAGGACTCGACACTGCTTGTGCTGAGGTGGTTTACTTCCTCGTGATTGCAGACAGCCGCGCAAGAGTCACGGCCGCCTCGTGCGCATCTGCGGGCGAAAGGCCAGGCACTATGGTCCCGGTTCGTGGGCGTTCTATGGTGCTACCATGCCAGAGGAACACCACATGCCAGTAGAAGAAGCAGTGGCAAAAGCAGCAGCAGTAGGAGTAGGAGCAGGAGTAAGAGTAGGAGTAGGAGTAGGACTGAGTAGCAGGAGTAGGAGTAGCAGAGGAGTACGAGCAGGAGCAGGAGCGGGAGCAGGAGTAGGAGTAGTAGCAGCCGCAGGCGGAGTAGTAGTAGCAGAAGCAGCAGCGGCAGCAGTACTAGTAGCAAAAGAAGCAGCCGCCGCAGCAGCGGTAGCAGGAGTAGTGTTAGTGGTGCTGGTAGTAGTAGTAGTAGTAGTAGTAGTAGTAGTAGTAGTAGTAGTAGTAGTAGTAGTAGTAGTAGTAGTAGTAGTAATAGCAGTAGCAGAAGTAGGAGCAGTAGAAGAAAAGTAGTAGTAGTAGTCGTGGTGGTGGCGGTAGGAGCCACAGCAGCAGCAGCAGTAGGTCCTCAAGCTGGCCCGGAACCCAAACTTCTACAAACCGCGAGCCAAGAAGCCCCCCGGGTCTCCGAGATCTTGGGCACTCAGGGCTTAGGATTGGGGTGTTTGGGTTTTGGTTTGAGGGTTTCATGTTTGGGGTGTAGGGCCTTTAGGGTAAGTTCGTTGGGAAAATGAATCATGAAAGTTACAACTGGGCAATTCGTGTCATCTTTGGCAAAGATGCAGGCAACTATGGAGCAAATGCGGATATCATACTGTCTTTGGCTGGAAGGTTCAAGCGGGATACCAAACGCCGGGCATGACTGCCCGCTTAAGAATGTAACTTTCGGTTTAGGAATTGGGTGTCGGGTTTAGGCTTTTAGGCTCTGACATCCGACATCCGGGCGGGCATATACAAGTCTGTGCAAAATAGGGTTAATCCCGTGACCCATGGAAAACTCTGCAATATAGGGGCCTCAATAATTACTAATACTGTTTTGGGGGTTCCTTATTGTAATTATAGTATATCGGGCACCAAAACCCTGTTCTAATTATTGAGGCCCCTATAGTCTAGAATCCTATTATAGATCCCTTATAGTAACCCCTTTATTTAAGGGAAGCCCTATTCTAATTATTAAGGCCCCTACATTTTAGCCACGGAGCCTCCTCACTTGAGCTTCCCGGTTTCGTGCAGGCAGTACGTCGATGATGTGGCGAGAGGCATCTTCCTCCAGATCTTGTTCAGCTGCATCTCAAGGCGGGTCCGTGGTGGCTGAAGTTGCCAGCGGCTTCCTAGTTAGAGCAGGTAACCTTTAACCTTTTCTGGGTCGTATAGTCCCTATATCATCCCTATATAACCAAAAAAGGTTAACCTTTAGTTCCCCATGATACCCGACAAGTTGGGCTTTCAGCAGAGAGAAGACAACAGTCGAAGGTTTCTCGGATTTGTTTAGGGTTTAGGGTTTAGGGAGTCCTGGCAGCCAGCAAGCCCGGGTTAAAACAAAAAAGGAACCATCTGCGCCACGTGGACATCGAACTTGAAACGTTTCTGCGGTCACATAGAATTTCCAGCAGGACCAAGCTTGAGACGACGTGGTGAACATCAACATATTCTTGTGCCCCCAGGGTTCCTGGCAGTTGTTGGATGAGGAAATCTCGCGAGGAAGTCCCTTTGCATTCGTGAGGTCCATGGAGAAGTTGTGCCCTTTGACCCGAACACGAAGCCGGATAAATTTTAAACCCCAAACCCAAAGTTTCGTCACAAGCCCGTTACAATAACTCCGAAGCCCGGCATTGTAAGCTCTACAAACTGAACCCAAAAGCTAAATCCATGTAATCCTTATCGCACCCCTTCTAGAAACCCTTGTGCTCACCGCCATGGCTGCCTTGAGGATGTTGCTGCTCCTCTGGACTGCTGGAATGATGCTTTTCCACAGCGCGGGGGCCGAGTCTGAAACTACCAATCCCAAGAATAAAGCAACAACCCATAGGTCTAATAGTGACAGTAGCAAAATAATGATCGTCATGCCGTCACTGGTAGTGCTGGCGACTTGAACGGCGGTTAGTGACGATGATAATAGTGCGGGTAACAAGGGGAAGCAACAGTAACAATCATCAGAAGAGGGCTTTCAGGTCATATATGGCCGTTCCAACACAGGGCTTAGGATTGAAGTTATGCAGTTTCGACTTTGGGTCTTAGGCTTTTTATGTGCGTGTCCGGGATGTTTCAGGGCCGTGATCTTTAGAACTACCCAGAGGCCCCAAAGTAGTTCCTTTTTGGGATTACCTAATAAGATTCTATATACGAACCCCAAAAAGGAACTACTTTGGGGCCTTTGGGTAGGTATATAAACCTTGCGCCGCCCTCGAATGTACTTACGTCGAAGAGTTCAACTTAGATATATAGAGCTCCCGCACTCCAAGGTCGCGAGTTCAAGCAGGACCAAGAGTGGGACACGGAGTCGCGCCGACAGCAGGCCTGCCCCAGCCGTAGCGACAGAAATCCAGTTAGATGTTAGTTGTGGGGGACAAACTCGTTCCGGGCTTCAGCATGCTTTATCATGGGATGTTCCGTACTGGCTAGTAGCTCGTCGTTCCTGGTTGAATGGTCCTTGCAGCCAGGAATCAGGAAAGCAGGGCCTCAAAGAAGCACAAGCAGCAACAACAGCATCAGCAGCGGAAGAGCAACAACAATTGCAGTATCCGCGGTATTAACACTAGAGGCAAGAACAAGACTAAAAGCCCCTGTTCTCGTGTCGCTCTGGCCGTGGTAAAGCGGCGGCGAAAGACGGCAAAATCAGCAACGACAGCAGCAACTATCAACACGGCTAGTTTTGGAAAATAGTTGCAGCAACACCACAGTAACAACACATGCGTGGCAGCAACAACAGCCGAAAGGCTGGGTATGTATGACGAGCAGTGAGTGGCTCACCGTGACTGTCAATGACAGCAACAACTTGTAACTTGTTATTTCGCATTTCGTTCGTTGTATCACTTCCGTGGCCTTTGCCACACCATCTACTTTGTGGTTCTCGCCACCATCACCGTTGCCTCGGTTATCGCGCGAAATTGGTCCCCAGCGTTGATTCTTCTTCGGCAGCACATCGTTGTTGTCATCGAGTCCGTCGTTGCACCGAACCATTAGGAAGGGGTATCCTAGGCTGCACGATCAGCAGCCTGACCACCGTCGCCATCAGAATCACCATTATCATCATCGTCATCGTCATCCGTATAGCTACAGTTTGTGTCGTCGTAGTCTCCACCATAGGCAAGCCCCCAGGAGCGTCGGCACCTGTACCTAAAACTTCCCTCAGGCATAGACTCCTTCAAGGTTCACCAGGTCAGGTCGCCCTTGAGGTTTCCGGTACGCTGTTCATGCTCGGCCCAGGCCCAGAGATTTCGCTTTTTAGGCCTAGGCAAATTCTGGAGCACAAATCCTCCATTCTAGCACTGCAATCCGGCGCAGACATACCATCCCGTCATCCGTCAAAGATCTGCAAAATGAGTCGCAGTGATGGGCTCGCTCCTTGGAGCAGAGCCGGAACAAGGAATTCCAGTCCATTTCAGACCGACGGTGGCTTGCGTGCGGCAGGTCGTGCGATGGTGGATCCGTGATGGAGCCTCCGTGGTTGCAAGCAGTTCGGGAAAGGAGGGCCGGGCTTGAGGATATCCTTAGAGACAGGCTGCTTGCCTCGGGTGAAGTTTTTCAGTTCAGGGCCCAAAATGCAAGGACATGGCTTTTGGTTTGTAACTACGACGAAGACGAAGTAGTAGAGCTCGCATAGTCACGAATTAAGCAATTCAAGGCAATGAACTGGTTCGTAGGCGTAGTGGTACTTGTCGTCACCGGCAGCGGTCGCAGTAGCGTTAGCAGGGTTAGCAGGAGTAATAGTGGCTGGCTGTGGTGATGCGAGTTGTAGCAGCAGTATAGTAGTAGTAGTCGTCGTCGTAGTCGTAGTAATAGTAGTCGTGTAGTCTTAGCAGTAGTAGTAGTAGTAGTAGTAGTAGTAGTAGTAGTAGTAGTAGTAGTAGTAGTAGTAGTAGTAGTAGTAGCGGTGGCAGTAGTAGTAGTAGTAGTAGCAGTAGCAGTAGCAGTAGCAGTAGCAGTAGCAGTAGCAGTAGCAGTAGCAGTAGCAGTAGCAGTAGCAGTAGCGGCAGCAGCAGGAGTAGTAGTAGTAGTAGTAGTAGTAGTAGTAGCAGTAGCAGTAGTACCAGTAGTACCAGTAGTAGTAGCAGTAGTAGGAGTAGTAGTAGTAGTAGTAGTAGTAGTAGTAGCAGCAGCAGCAGCAGGAGTAGTAGTAGTAGTAGTAGTAGTGGCCACAGGGATAGTGGCGACAGTCGGGGTAGCCATCGGACACAATGGTGGTACTCACAGTGCCAGATTTGTGTCGCAGTCGTTTGGACAGACATTTTAAAGCAGAGACACCAAGTACCGCGGCCCTTTTCGAGCTTCCCGCATATGGCTTCTGCTTCACCTCTGCCACAAGAGACTTGTAAGTAGTTGAATGTCCAGAAATACTTTGTATCTAGCAGCGACGGTGCTGATCAGTTTTACTGTAGCTCCCTTGGATTTCTGAGTTTTCTGGTGTAGCGTATAGCGTGTTCCATAGGGGTTCATTTTTTGGGGTGCCGGGTTTGCGGCTTTAGTAGGGTAAAATGGGTACGTTGCCGCCGCTGCAAAGGTGTTCGCAGCTCTCATCTTGCTGTACTCTGTGCTTTGTTGCGCCTGGCCTGCATCCGAGAACCTCCAATCCCACCGAAGCTCGTGCTACTCGCACGAAAGTCCCACTACTAGCTGCTACCACTCTTAATTACAGTACTTTTTCATACTGCACTTTACTACTCATACCGCTCGTACTGAACTTCCGAACTTTAGAATTCTCTTACTGCTCTTACTACTTTTACTAGTCTTAGCAGTCCTCGCATTTTCCACAACTACTACATCTTACCACTCCTACTACTCCTACAACAACTACTATCATTGCTGTCACTCTTACCGTTGCGAGTACTCCTGCAGCTGCTACTACTCAAGTGACAAAAGACACTGCTGCTCCTGCTCCTGTTTGATCCTAGTTCTGCTGGTGCTACTAGTACCACTAGTACTACCACTACTACTTCCACTACTGCAAGGGTTCAGCAGCGAGGGCTCAGGGTTTACATAGGGAACTGAGAAAGGCACCCTCGGCGCGGCCTACATTGCCAGCGCTTCCGATGAGGACTGCTACGCTACATCCCTTCCGCGTGGAGGGTTTAAGGCTTTAGCACGCCTCATCACCTCATGGCTCTGTATCCAACTGTAGACGCCAAGCTGTCATCGGGGAGGCGGGGTTCATTTTCTTGCTTTGCCTTCGACATGCGTACGGTGTGGGCCATGGAGAAAGCAACTCGGCAGGCGAGACTCGCATGACATAGTCAACTACAGCTCTGTGCAGTGCTTGGAAAATTCTGTAGTTCCGAAGTGCGAAGCAGAAGCCTGAACCCGGAGCCCTGGACCAGTCAAAATCGAATGCTAAGGTGCCAGAAATCATGTAAAAGAACCCGAGTAAACAAGCCAAGACCCCCGATTCTCACGCCTCACTTTCATGAATACTTTGTTCTAGCCTGACCTGCCTTCACATGACAAAGGAACCCTTAAAGAACTCTAAAAGCCGTACAGTAAACTGTAAGCCTTCAAGGAACCTTTCAATGGACCTTCAACCCGACTTTTTTGGTCTCACGCTTTCGCTCTTAAACTCCAGGACTTCGACCCCGAGCCTGAAAACCTAAACCCTAAAACCTAAACCCCTAAGCCCTAAAACGCAGCTGGAAAAAGGTCCTCAAAAAAACCCTTAAAACCTAAACCCCTAAACCGCTTAAATCCTCAAGGCCTTCTTCGAAGCAAGACCCCGAAGAGCCCCGAGCCTTTTAGCGCCTCTGAGTGTTTAAAGTTTTAGATTTCCGGGTCAGGGTCTTAGGGCTTTAGGGTGTTAACGTTTAACGTGTCTACAAAGAGTCTACAAGCGTCAGCCTGCCGTGGCATGTGCCCAACTCCTCCGAAATCTGCTAAAACAAATCCCAAGTGCTGTAGCTGTGAGAAGCCGAGGTACCTCCCCCCCTTGCCTGTCAAGTGGGTAGTTTTCTTGTTTGGCCTTGTTGCTTTCCCCGTCTTCCTCGGATGTCTTTTTTGGCGTTGTCCCCTCCCCCGCCTGTGGTGTGGGGCCTGAGGTCTTTTTGGTTGGCCTCGCCCCGCCCGTGGGGGGCAGTGTGTTCTACAGAGGTATGGTATGGTTGCTGCCGCTTGTTAGTAGTGATGTCATCGTTACGTGCTCGTTACCATACTACAGAATTTGATGTTGCTCTTTTCTCCTTGCAAATGGTGCCCCTGTCCCTGCTCTGACGCGGTTCTCCGCTCTGAAGAAGCACTGGCTGGGATCATTCTCCATCGTCCTCCCTCGCTTTGGTTTGCGTGGGTTCGTTCCGGTTGTGTGGGACCGCTGAGAGCGGGGACGGGCCGGGGCCCGGGGGGAGGATACCATTGGGGAGGGACTGCCCAGTTCAAGGGTTTTGGTGCGGTTTGGGAGTAAGGCTAAGGCTGACGTTGGTACCTATAAGCTTGAAATGGCACACTCGATGCACACCCCATGCTTCTGGCAAGGACGGACAGCGCTGGCTCACTAGCTTTGCCACGATGGCTTCCTTGGCTGAAGATGGCGTTAACTCGGGCTTTAAACTGTCTAGCATGTAATATAAGGTCGGAAGAATTGGTATTGGCCCTGTGTAAGTATCGTTGAAAGTACCCTATCAAGGCTCCTTTTTGTAGGCTGAGGAGGAGCCCGCGAAGGCCAAGACCTGTGCACGTGCGAAGGATTCAGCAGAACCTCAGCAAGGTTATTCCTTCTAAGATTCGCGAAGTTATGTTTCATGTCTGCAGCAAACTAGGTGTGCGCGTCCATATTGTGAGTTTATCCTGAGTGACTGGCTTGCGCGGTTTGGGAAGTGTGTTCTTGAGCTGGATGGACAGGGACACTGCTTTCAGAATTTGCCAACTCCAAGGGGTCCTTTGGTTCTAGATGCAGGTATTTACAGGGCACCCTGAATGCCACAAGCCAAAATGATTGGAAAGTCGTGAGCCCTGCTTACAGAAACTTCGCAAGTAAGGTCGTAGTCAAGAGTAACTACAGCCGTAAGGGTAAACCTACCTAGTGAGGTTCCCCCTGAACCCTAGTCGGGCATCTAAAAGAGCCATATTTTTGAACCTCTGAGCACCATCCATGGAACTGACATCGAACCTTCAAATCAAGGGTCCTGTTATGTACGAATGCCACCCTGATACCCTCGGTGCCCTGAAAGTCTACGAGTCTACCCCCTGCACCCTGAAGCCCAAAACCCTAGACCCTAAACCTTGACCCCAAAACCCTCCACCGCAAACCCTAAACCGAAACCCCCGAACCCTACACCCCAAACCCGAAGCCCGAAACCCCCAAATCCCACACCCCAAACCCTAAACCCGAAACCTCCAAACCGTACACCCCAAACCCGAAACCCGAAACCGCAAAAGCCTACACCCCAAACCCGAAACCCGAAACCCCCAAAACCCTACACGCCAAACCCTAAATCCGAAACCCCAAAACCCTACACCCCAAACCCTAAACCCCAAAAATCCTACACCCCAAACCCTGTACTTTAAACCCCCAAAATCCTACACCCCCAACCCAAAATCACTACGCAGCCCAGTGCCCAGAGACTCCAATATCCTTTAATGAAGGAATATTCCTTAAATCGTAAGTATTATCTGTACATGACCCTAAACCCTTAAACCCTTAAATTTAGATAATAGGTGCTGTATCTTTTTAGGGACCCAAAAAGGAACCATAATTTGAAGAAAAAAAAGAAAAAACAAGAAAACAAATAAAAAACATAAAAAAAAGAAAAAAATAAAAGAAAAAAAAACAACCACCCAGGTTCTCCTTACTGCTCTGGGAGAGCCTTTGGCCCCTCGACTCGCCTTCGGTTTAGGGCTGAGGGTTAAGGGTTTATGAGTTTAGGGGTTTAGGGTTTAGGGTTTAGGGTTTAGGGTTAAGGGTTTATGAGTTTAGGGGTTTAGGTTGAGGGTTTAGGGTTTAGGATGGGTTTAGGGGTATGGGTTTAGGGTTTATATAGGGTCAAGGGTTGAGGGTTATGCATTCTTCATGTCGAGTCGGGGTTGCGAACCGGCGGTCTACACTACATGATTGAAGAAGCGCTTTGCAGGATTTGGGAGTTTCCGAAAATTAGGGGTACCTTGTTTTGGGATCCTTATAATAAGGATCCTAGTATCTAGGGTACTACATTAGGGTCCCCTATTTTCGGAAGCCCCCATTTAGGGTCCAGAACTTGGGTTAACGGCTTTGCAGGCAAGAGTTTGCTTTGGCCGGTCTGCAGGCTGAGGAATGATGGGACTGGGGCTTGGGTCTACTTAGAGGATCATGGGACTTAGTATGTAGGGTTCCTTTAAAGGGAGTAAGTAGGGTTTAGGGTTTAGGGTCTACTTGGAGGATCATGGGACTTAGTAAGTAGGGCTATAAGTACCTTAACTAAGGTTATAAGTAGATATAGCTATAGTTATCTTACATATAACCCTACTTACGAAGTCCTCTGATCCTCTAAGTAGGGTTTGGGGCATCATGCTGCCAGGCTTTTGGGGCCACTTAGAGGATCAGGGGACTTAGTAAGTAGGGTTGTAAGTAAGGTAACTATGGGTATATCTACTCATAGTCCCAATTAAGGTACTTATGACCCTTGCTAAGTCCCATCATCCTTCAAGCACAGCAAACCAAGTGATGCGTACAACTGTCTCGTCTCCAATAGGACGATCCTGGTGCCAGCGAGTGCGCTTTATGTTGAGAGTCGGACTTTTGCAAATGGCTAGGGGTTGTTCGACCGGTCTGCACAATGCAGATGAGGAAGCGAGCTCCTAAACCCTAAACTCTTATGCTTTAGTGTTGAGTTGTTCGCAAAACTTGGGAATTGTGATCCGAGTGGTTTCGGCGAGGTTCGAGGCTTGTTTTGAGAAGAGCTTCTGGGAAGTTTTGTAAAGTTTAAGTAGGGTTCACATCCTGTTTTTGGTGAGGTGAGTGTGTATGAGGCTGTAAGAGACTGCATGTCGGCTTCTTTTGATGTGGGGCACCTTGGTGGAGATGCCGTGGGTACTGGCCCCATGCAGTAACAGTCTATGATGGGAGGCTACTGGTACTATTAAGGGCCTAACCTACACTATGAATTAGAAGCTGCCCCCACCCTGCAATAGTGACTATAAGGATTATATTAGGGCCCTATTATATTCCGAGTATACCACTATTACAGGGTCAAGACCCCTTCTAAACTATGAATAATATTCGTCGACTGTTGGTGAGTGCGCTCAGCACCCAAGAGATGCCCTGTTTCACCCGAATCCAGATGCCGGGTTGATTGCGTTGGAGTTTTGGGGAGCTCCACTCGGAGTGCTCAGAGATCCCAGTACCCCTTAATTAAGGATTATGCCTTGTGTTATAGGGTGCTGAATATAGTACGATGATTTAAGGTATACTCCTTAATCAAGGGGTACGGGGTTCTCTGAGTGTAGACGCCTGGCCTGGCTTTGCTTGTTTTTGCGCAATCGGGTCCAGGTTTAGGGTTTAGGGTTCAGGGTTCAGGGTTTAGAGTTTAGGGTTTAGGGTCCAGGGTTTAGGGTTTAGGGTTTAGGGTTCAGGGTTTAGGGTTTAGGGTTTAGGGCCAGGGCCCCTCACATCCTTCGGGCTTCTTCTCGGCCTCTCTGCACACCCTACACCTCAAGCCCACCGTGCATTGAGCCCCTGGTCCTTTGATTTCGGTAACGGCAAGCCGTGTTTCGCCGTGGACTAAACTGGCCGTCATGGCAAATCCTGAGTCCTACCTATAGTCTCCATTGTAGTTCCTTTTTTGGTTAACAAGTTTTATGGTTAGGACCCTATAATAGAGATTTTGATTAACCCCAACAAAGGAACTACAATGGAGACTATAGGTAAACTCGAAATCCGAAACTGCAAACTCTTGAGAGTCCAGAATTCCGAGTCTCGTTCCCACAGCCTTTAACCGCACGAGGTCAAGAGCCTGCTATGTGCCGTCGTGGCGGGTGCCTCCATTAAGGCCCCCCTGCACTCACACTGATTTGGGAGTCTCTGAAAATTAGGGGGTACCTTATTTTGGGGTCCTTGAAATAAGGATCCTATTATTTAGGGTACTATATTAGGGTCCCCTGTCCTCGGAAACTCCCATTTGAGAATCAGCGTTCCTTTAGCTGCTTTGAATTCAGTTTGGTTGTTGTAAGGTGCATCACGGAACATATCTTTCGGTTCCCACCTGCAAACTCAACCCAAAGCACGTCAAGATCCCCTGGCAACATGCCTAAACCCTGAACTCGAAATCCGAAACACTTCACTTCCATGCTTTTCACTTTTGCAGAATCTCGAAAATTTCCATGATGCCGGAAAGTTAAGCCGTAAGCTTTAAGTTCTACACCGTCAACCCAATCTCTTAACCCCGAACCAAGGCGGTGTTCGTATAGGCCACAAAGAAGGGCATAACAGGGAAGTAAAACGCCAGCCAAAACACAATCGTACAGAAAATCAAGAAGTGCACAATGCCGATGCAAGAACCGGGTATAGAGCCCTTTAACGCCTAATACAGACAGGAACGTTTTGTTTGAACCCTGCCCGCCGCAACCTTGCTGTAGGGGGCAGAGCAATTAGGAAGATCATTCTTTGGTTCACAACTATACGGTAAGGTATCTCCAAACTCTATTCTAAGTATCAAGGCCCCTATATTCAACCCTGATAACACCCCTTTTAGAACCCTTTAAAGGAAGCCCTTGCAGGAATCTTATGCAATCATTAGGGCCCCGACCCCAAAACGGCAACGGCCAGGAGGATGGAGGTCTGATTCTGCAGGACTTTATGCGATTTGAGGTTTGCTGGGCCCTTCCGAGTTTGGGGTTTAGGGCGTAAGGGTAGGGTTTAGGGGTGTCAGGGTGCTTGAACTAAAGGTTCATGAGTAGTCACAAAACGTCGTAAGTAGGGTTGTCTATACCTTGATTGGGGGGTGAAGGGAATGATGCGTATGCAACAAGCTTGCAACCCTGCCTACATAAGTGTGCATTGCAACTGGAGTCGTCGTCTTAGTTATGCTGTATACACAACACTCCCGAAAATAGATCCCCACGCATGAAGAAGGGCTAGTGCACATAGTGTACGTCCTGGCATGATGAGCAGTAGCAGATAGTAGCAGGAGCAGCGGCTGCAAGAGCAACTAGCAGTACTGAAACCAAGCAGAGGCCGCAACTAAGAGGAGACGTGACTACAACAGACCTCAAACCCAAGCTTACGAAGCAAGAAGCAGTTTCCACTTGAGGCCCACGATGTCTTGTTAAACAACCACGGGCTTGATCTCAAGTATTACGCCCTTTGCTCTTCCAAAAGGGGTTCGTACTACCCAAGCCGTAATTACTTCCCAACCTGGTGTAGGGTGCAGGACTTAAGACTTAATGCCCTTCGACATGTGCCTAGAACCCGAAACCCTAAGATAGCTTGGAAGAAGACTCCCTTGAACCCCTCCAATGCCCGAAGAAAACTCCTCAAAACACCAAACCATGAAGGCCTAAACCCAGAGACTCCAATATCCCTTAATTAAGGAATATTCCTTAAACCATATTAGGGATCCTACTATACTTTAAGGTATATTCCTTAATTAAGGGATGTTGGAGTCTCTGGGAAGCCCCGAGCCTAGCGAAAGGACTGCTTAGCGCCAGAGTTGGGCGCAGGGCCACAGAAGACGGAGCTTCGCATGGCACTGGAGCTGTTTGATATGCATCTTCAGGTTTAGGGTTTAGGGTTTAGGGGTTTAGGGTTTAGGGTAGGGTTTAGGGCTTTGGCTATCTTTGATATGGGGAGTTGTCAAAATTAGGGTCCCTTTTTTTGGGTACCCTAAATATTAGGTGCCGTATTATGATAGGGATCCAAAAAGGGGCCATAATTTTGACAACCACCCATATGCATCTTTGGCTATCGGTGTAGCTTGGAGTCTAGGGCAGGGGTTTAGGCTTCTCTATTCGATTGGCGTGGCTTTCGTCCTGTGCAAAGCGCGGATACAAGTCATGCCCGCAAGAAGTCGCTGCAGACCGGATGATAAGATCCCATAAGCCCTAAACCCTAAACCCTAATATGATAGGGGTTTGGCCCTGGAGAACGGCTTAGGGTGTCCCGAAATGTTTGGTTGTTTTGCGCATGTCGAGAATGCGTTGCTGAGAGTTTGCGAGGTTCACGTCTTCCCTGTCCCGAAGGGTCCTCCTAAGAATCATATACTCTCCCACATAGTGTCCTACACAAGTATTATCCGACACCAAGGTACCCAATTATTGGGTCCTTTTGACCCTTAGGGTATCTTCAAGGCGGTACCTTGCGAACGCTAACCGGGACCCCAGTCAGAAAGCCGGGCCAGCAAGACCTCATAACCTTGCACTCCAGACCCTGAAACCCTAAACCCTAAGACCCTGAAACCCTAAACCCTAAGACCCTGAAACCCTAAACCATAAGACCCTGAAGCCCTAAACCCTAAACCCTAAGACCCTGAAACCCTAAACCCTAAGACCCTGAAACCCTAAAGCAACACCCGAATCCCTAAAGCTATCCAGGGGCTGTCTGCCATCACGGAGGTCGATGAGGCCGCTGGCACGGCGTTTTCGGCTTAACCGCTTTTTTAGAGATTCCAAAACCCCTTAACCCAGAGACTCCAATATCCCTTAATTAAGGAATGTACCTTGAATTATAGTAGGATCCCTTATATGATTTAAGGAATATTCCTTAATTAAGGGATATTGGAGTCTCTGGGAATTAAGATGCCTTACCTCATATTCGGGCTCCTATTCTCATATTCCTGAATTAAGGGACAAGGGAGTCTCTGGGTTAAGGTATGGGGTTTAGGATTTAGGATTTAGGGTTCAGGGTTCAGGGTTTAGGGTTTAGGATTTGTCCGGTGTGCTTGTAGCCAGGATCCTGCCACTTCTGGTCTCTATTAGGAAATCTGCGGCTGTGAGTGTGGGCGTCCTTTGACAAATCAATGCTGCCATGGTATTGCACGTCTGTCCGACTACGGATGCTACTGTAACTTTCCTGCTTCTTGTGATATCGGTGTTGCTTCTGCTCGAGCGTCTTCCTACTTACTCCTTTGCTTCTTGCTCTGCCCCTTCCTTGTGCTCGTGCATCTACGCCGCCTCCTCCTCCTCCTCCTCCTCCTCCTCCCCCTCCTGCTTCTGCTACTGCTCCTACTGTTATTTTTTTGAGATAAGCTTTCATGGCTACCAGGCCTGCTTCGGTGTTGAATGTTCTGCTCTGACAGGCGCTCTGCTTCTCCTTCTCTCCGACCTTCCAAATTCCCATATTTAGGGAAGATACATCATCACACCAGGGATCCTACTGTAAGCTAGCGTACAACAACCCTAATCAAGTTTAAGGTATACCTCTTAATTTAGGGACTTTAGGAAGATCTGGGCATGCGAAGCTTCGGCTCCCCAGAGACTCCAATATCCCTGACCCTAATATGATTTAAGGAATATTCCTTAATTAAGGGATATTGGAGTCTCCTAAACCCAAAACCCTATAGATCCCTTAAAGGAACCCCAGGTATTCCTTAACTAAGGGATATTGGAAGGTCTGGGACCGCGAAACCCTGGCTCATCATCTGTGGAGGCGCCGTCGCCACCGCCGCCGAACACGGGGCTGCCGATTGCCCAGCGTGCCGTCAGCAGATCTGCCGCTCCCCCGGAGACAGCAGCGGTGTAGATTCATTTTGGAGATTCCGAAAATGGGGGACCAGAGAGCGCGAGAGAGAGTATAGCACCCCAAATAGTAGGATCCTCATTTTAAGGACCCCAAAATAAGGTACCCCTAATTTTCGGAAACTCCCATCTAGGGTTTAGGGAAAAAGTGTTCATCTAGGATTCGGGGTCCTCCTCCGAGGTTTTGTGCGGCGTCTGAAGCCTTTGGATTCTATGGGCTTCGGCAGGTTTCGGCTTTGGGTTCAGGGTTCTAGGTACCCAGAGCCTCCAAAACCCCTTAGTTAGGGAATATACCTTAAATCATATAAGGGATCCTATTATAATTTAAGGTATATTCCTTAAAATTAAGGGGTTTTGGAGGCTCTGGGTATACCAGGTTCCACATCCTCCTTTTCTTTGAGATCGTATCGGAATCCTGGCTGCTTCGTGTGCAGCGTCTTGCGGTGTCATGAGCACACAGCTTGACTCCTCCGAAAGGCGGCTTGGGGTATCGGTGCTGCATTTCGGCCTCGGTCAAGATGATTGTGGGTCGTAGACTGGCTAGACTTCAGTCCAGTGGCAAAAAACGGTTTCGGGTTTAGGGTTCACCCGGTGCTGGGTAGTTGTCTTCACCAACCTTTCTGTAGAGAGTGCCTCTGCCCGAGCCTCGAAAATGCCAGAGTGCAGTAACATGGCCCTATATGGGAGTTTCCGAAAATTGGGGTACCCTATTTTGGGGGTCCTTGTAATAAGGATCCTACTGTTTAGGGTACGTACTATATTCGGGTCCCCTATTTTCGGAAACTCCCATATAGGGCCCATACCTATAGTCTCCATTGTAGTTATTTGTTTAGTTAACAGAAAACTGTATCATAGGATCCTAACCATAAAGCCGGTTAACCAAAACAAGGAACTACAATGGAGACTATACGTACTATTCCGAGGTTCCTTATTGTAGTTGTAGTACATGGTCCTTTATAATTGCCTATACTATTTTGGGGATTCCTTACTATAGTTATACTACAGTATACCCCCAAGATCCTATTCTAATTATTGAGCCTTGAGGACTCGAACCTCCGGAGCCCTAGGATTTGCTGCAGAGCGACAGCCTCAAGGACATTCCTGGCACTGCAGCAGGCGTGTTCGGGCTTAGGGGTTATACGGCCTGTAGGGTTCAGCGTTTGGGACCTCATAAGTTCGGTAGGCTAAGTTTGTTATCTTCATCGTCACCATCAGTATCACGGCCATTATCACCATCACAGTCACCATCACCAAAACCATCATCGTCAGCATCGCCACCTCGTGCCATGGACCATACCATCACCTTCATCATCACACAGCATTTGTATATTCCGCACCACCGTGCATCATTTCGCACCCCAGCACCACCTATGCATCAGCATGTTCTGATTGTTCTGTCCTTTCATCACCGGTATGAGCCTCAGTGTTGTCAGATGTTCTGCCGCTGCGCTACCACATCCATCATCGTTTCGACAAGTAGGGGTAGTCAGGAATTTCGAAATGTGGCCGCTGTAATTTCCCACATCATTATCATCATCATGTTGGTCATCACTTCCACGATCATCAATATCATCCTCGTGTTGGTGAAGAGCATGAACATCGACGTCACCATCATTATGATCATCATCTTCTTCTTCATCACCAGCATGCCCGTATATCTATCTAATTCTATCTATCTATCTATCTATCTATGTATGTATCTATCTACATATATATATATATAGACACACATATATATATATAAACTTATGTGTGTGTGTGTTCACCTATGCTCAGTTTTGCGTTTAAGGCAACCCTGCGCGGATTCATTCATGTCAACCTGCCTACTTACTAGTTACTCTTACTAGTTAGCAGTCCTCGTGCAGCCGCTTGTGTAAATTTCACCAAACATCCTTCTCGTAGCGCAACAAAACCCAATGGAATACTTCCAGGGATGTTACCCTCACGCCTGTGGCGACTTATGCTGAGATCGGGAGCAGCAGCCCAAGAAGCATGTCTGAACCCTGAACCCTAAACCAATAGGCAACGCAAGCGTCAGCCATCGAGTCAAGGATGGTAGGTTTTATCGTGTGACAGATGTCTCAAACAAGCATAGCGGTACCTCATTTTCCCAAGCCTTGTATCCTATGCATACCATAACATTTAATCTCTAAATCTGCATGCCCTGCACCCTGTACATACCATATCCTTGCCTCCAACAAGAGAATGAGAAGCTCTGGTGAGATTCCACTGCTTTGCCAGGGACCCCCGGCGCTTCACCCATACCTTCGGCAAAAAGCAGCCACAGCGCATCTGAGCTGCACGTTTTGCAGATTTAGGGCCTCAACAGCCCTCAACAGCCCCAAACCTGAACCTGTCTAACCCTAAACTTGCGCACCCCTGCAAAGAGCACTTTGCTGGAGACTCTCGGTACGCTGACATCCGCTATCTTGGTTTGAGGGTGTTCTGGTTTGGTGTAGTTTTGTTTTGAGGTAATGAGGTCTTTAGGGTTTAAAGATTGCGGTCTTTCGCAAGGAAAGCTTAAACTTTAAACCGTCAGCCGCAAAAGGAGCCAGGGCTTGTTGCAGAAAGTCTAGGGTACTTAGGGTCAGGCACTGAGGGTTCAGCGCCCAACACACTACAGTGGCTTGACTAGGGGCCTGGTGGTTTCGCTACCACCTGCGTCGTTGCAGCTTTTACCCACAGCCCTGAAGTCTAAAACCGTAAACCCTAAACCCTAAACCCCAAACCCTAAACCCTAACTAAACCCTAAACCCTAAACCCTAAACCCTAAACCCTAAACCCCAACCCCAAACCCCAAACCCTAAACCCTAAACCCTCAAAGACCTCAAGCAGTCAGGTGGCCTCACCCCCGAAACCTCGAGGGGAGCGGGAGAGCTGGTTCGGGCCTCGGTGGGTGCTTCGTGGTTCCCGTGGTTCCTTAACAAAAAGGGGCCTGAATATTGGAATAGGGTTTAGGCGGTTTAGGGTTTAGGGTTTAGGGTTTGCTACTATAAGGGCTGTTATAAGGATTTAGATGCTTCGTGGTTCTCGTGGTCCCTTAGCCCATGCTACCGTCCGCGCTGCAGTGTTTTGTGATATGGCTGAGATGGTTTGTAGCCTTTTCGAGAACCCTAAAACCCTAATCCCCTAAACCCTGAACCCTAAACCCTGAACCCTAAACCCAAGACCCTAGACCCTAAACCCTAAACCCTAGACCCTGAGCCTTAAAGCTTAGTGAATCGGAAGCATGAGCCCGAACCCCCTGGGAGTTTCCGAAAATTAGGGGTACCTTATTATGGGGCCCTTATAATAGGGATCCTACTATTTAGGGTACTATATTAGGAAGCTTTAGAAGCCTTGCACCAGTGATCTCCGAAATGGTCGGAAACTCATCCCGCGACTCTGCATGGCTTGAACCTGCGAACCTGCAAACTTTGCTTTGCTTCCCTACTCTTCTTTCTGCCAAGATGACGGACAGAAGGGAGGGGGAGGTGGGGGAGGAGCACAGGTGGAATACGTCAATAGACATAAGAGCCGGTTCATTAGACGCGGCAGCGAAAGCTTTACTATTAATCCTCTTTACTTTTTCGGTCGGCGTCGGAGTGCATATCCAAAAAGCGACTGAAATTCTTGAAATATCAGCCACAATTAAAGTTTTCGAAGTTAAAACAAAAACGACGGGAATCCCCAGTGCAGATTGAGTAGTAGGTACCGTCATGTAGCAATTCACATGGTCATCTATATGTATGAGCTGGGTAGGCCTTTGAGTCAGCATGTTTTGCCAACAATTGGTTTAATCGGGGTAGGATTTGTCAAAGATCTTTAAATTGAAGGCCAACGCTGAAAACAGCAACAAGACAAACCTCACACTAAGTGTACTAGTCGAGATGTGCAGGACTTGATAATGGATTCGTGAGACTCATCATACCATACAAGACTCAAGATTAAATTCCTAGACCGAATACATAAGCCTGAACTGCAAAGAACACAGCTTAACATCCTTGAACCCGTAATCCCTAAACCCTAAACCGCCTCGATCCGAAATCCTCCAACCTGAGACGGTCCGAGGAGGGGCGCCCGCCGGCCGAGCGATCACCGGATCGACTCTAGCCCGGCGTCTTTGGCTGCAGGTTGGGGGTGTTAATATCGCAGCCCAAATATTCACAAATATTTTTCCTTAGGATTCTGTATTATAGTTGTGGTACAATACACACCCAAAACCCTTCTATAAATATGAGGCCTCTATTTTACGCTTCAAGGTTCTCGGGGTTTGAGGGTCGGCATGATGCGCGAAATCTCGCTGGATAAACTTCGGGGCGTTTTTGACTTCGCGGCTTCGGTCTAGGATTTTGATGTAGCCTAGGGTATAAGGTTTGGGTTCCGGTTCGGGTTTTGGGCGCAGGGCTGAGGGCTCAGGGCTGCGAGCCACGAGCTTGGGTATGGAGTGAGGGGTTAGGGTTTCAGCCAAAGCCCGTGCTGAAAAACAAGGGCCTATAAGCTTGACGGGCACTAGAATACAGGGGGCTTCATGATCTGATTTTTTTGTAAGTATCCAGGCCCCCGATACGAGTTGAACACGGTGAACACGCAGGGACTGTGGATTTGAAGCTCAGGCTCTCCCTTAGCACCAAAGAGCCTACTTACCTTCAGGGCTTACCTGTAGCCGGAAAGATCTACCATTGTTCCGATTTATGATTTCGATATATTATATACAGTTCCTCAAAAAGGTAGGTCTTTTCGGCCACAGGTGTACAAGGAAATCATAATAGGGAGCCTCAAAATGGGTAGGTTTTAGGGGGGGTCCAGGTCGCTTGAGGTCCTCGAGTTTAGGAGCTTTGCCGCCCTGTCTATACTGTTGGAGTAGGCCTACCCGGAATGCCCAAAGCCGTACCTCGTCGCAACGCCTCAGCCACAAGACCAAAGCCTTGAAACCTCGAACCTAAAACTCCCCTCAGCCCTAAACCCTAACTCGAAACCTTGAACTCAGAACCCTAAACCTGAACCCACGGTCCCATGAAAAGCTTCCGAGGTGTCACCCATTCAGGTCGGAGAGGTTTCACCTGGTTCACCCATGTCTTAGGAGCCACTGGGCTGATCCGTGGGATGTAAAACCATTTAGGTATCAGATTTCAGTGTGCGCAAATTAACAAGGCTTCGTAGCGTTTCCCTTCTAGCCGCTACAGAGTCAGCCTGCGACAGCCCCCCAACCCTCTTACAATTGTTGCATGCAGGCCCCCTATATTCTGGAAGCATGTCGGATGCCGTAGCAAAGCTAAAGGACGGCTATAACAGAGCATGGGGTTCAGAGATGTTCCGGATGCAGGGGGATATAAGTGAATTCAACGGATCACCAGTCCGGGAAGGTGCATTTGATGGGGATCACCTCTAGTCTCCATTGCTGTTCATTGTTTGTGCTTAGGGTTTTTGGGAGTGAGATTTAGTGTTGAGGGTGTCGTTTTTTTTGGATCCTTGCACCAAAGCCAAGGTGTTCAAACCAGGAATTGCAACGGGGACTATAGGTATGGTTGACATGCCTCTGGCCTTGGCGATTGCGAAGCAACGCCGCTGCCGGGAGCTTTGCTCGAATGTTTCGGCCTTCTTTTGCTCTCACAGACAGGATCGAAGAGAACGAACCAAGTTCAAGGTGCCATTGCGGTCGGAATGACTCGTTGTCAGTATCTTTTTCTCCCTGGTTTTTTTTCGTATGATGGACCCTACATACCTATAGGGCTTGATAGACCTATAGTCTAATATGATTACCACCAAAACCTGTTCTGAGTGTTGAAGCCGCTAGGCTAGTTCGAGCCTCAATGCCTTCCTTGGAGGGGCGGAGGACTTGGTAAGTAGATAGTTTGAAGAGTTATGAGCATCATAGCCCCAATTCGGGTCCGTGTCAGGGGACTTTTATTAACACTCTACTTATTTATTCCCCACCCATGAAGTCCCCGCGAAACCTCTGAGTAGATTTACAGCCATCGGCTCGAAGGAACTTCGAGTGCAGTGTCTCAAACGCTAAGCTCAAATTACTTAAAGGATCAACCAGAGAGCCCAATACCCCTTAATTAAGGAATATAGCTTAAATTATGTAGGGCTTCATATTCTCATTCAAGCTATATCCCTTAGTCAAGGGGTATTGGGCTCTTTTGGCAGGGGACTTGAGTAGGGTTCCTCTAAGGGTCGCCTTAAGGGGCTTATAATAGGCTTCTATAGGGCTGTACGGTTTAGGGATCAGGGGACATCGCAAGTGGGGTTATATGTAAGGTAACTATCGTCTCTATGCGTTCACAACCTTTGTGAAGGTACTCATGGCCGCACTAAGCGAGTCAAAGCCATATGGCTTTAGGGGTTCAAGGGGTACGCCAGACTGTAATTGACCCTGACATAGACAGGTGAGCAGTAGTATAGGGGCCTAACATTTTGGGGGTTCCTTAGTGTAGTTGTAGTATAATGGGCACCCAAAACCCTGTTATAGTTATTCACGCCCCTATATCCTAGATCCCTACTACAGGTACCTTCTAGAACCCTTTTAAAGGAACCCTTAAAGGAACGGTGTTCTACATACTTATTAAGGCCCCTACAGTATAGGTTGGCGCCTGTCGTGCGCCGAGCTGAGAGGAGGCCCAGCAGCTGCCTGTGTCCCAAATTTTGCAGCTGCCTCGGAGAGTGTCCGGATACCCCAATAGGGTTCCTTTTAGGGATCTGTAGGGGCTCCTTGAAGGGATCCTATCATATCCCATAAGGGGTCTATAGGGTTTAGGGCTTAGGATACCCCAATACCCCTTAAAAAAGGGCGTATAAATTAAATCATCATATTAAGCCACCTATAACTTAAGGTCTGTTCTTTTATTAAGGGGGTCTACATTGGGTTCTCTGGGTGTGAAGGTCAGGCTCTTGCAAATCTGACAGTCTGTTAGATGAACCCGAAACCCCAAACCCTCAATCCTAAACCCTAAGATGTCAAGCCGTCCGATGTTCAACCAAGTACCCTGTAATGCGGGCTTCATCCTTGCCAAGTAGGAGGGAAAAACCTTAAGATGCACCCCAGAATCCAGTTCTCCGTAGCGTCTACCTCAGATTACAGTTGATCATCGGTGCAGTTGACAAATGCGCGATTGAGGGGTAAGACCTATCAGTTTCTGTCATTATGATGCCGTGACGTACTTTGTTTGGTGAGTGTTGGGGTTATGCTTATGCTTCCACTGTGTAGGGTTCTAGGACTGCATGGGTGACGAAAAGCTGTAGTTTAAAGCTTAAACCAGAGAAAACCCGAATCCCGAAATGTTCCCAAGCGCTAAACCAAAACCCTAAACCCAAAGCCCCTACACCTTGAACCCTAAGCCCTGTTAGGAGTCTGGGTCAAGTCTGGGTCAAGGCAGTTGCAAGCATCTTTGAAGATCGTCGGCCGCGGTGGTCTGAGGGAGCAGCAGTGAAACCCTAAAGGGCCCTAACCCCACAACCCCTAAACCCTGAACCCTAAGCCCTGACCCCTAAACCCTAAACCCTAACCCCTTGAAGCCTAAACCCCCAAGCCCTGAACCCCTAAGCCCCTAAACTACAAATCCTCCCTCTTTTGCTTCGCAGTCCCCTGACGCTTCGTGAAAAAGTCGCGTTTCTCCAATTGGACCTTCGGCTTAGGGGGTTCGGAGCTGAACGTAGAGACTTCATTTTTATATACATATGTATCCTACTATTTAGGGTACTATATTAGGGCCCCCCTATTTTCGGAAACCCCCATTTGGAGCTAAACCCTACGCCAAGGCCCTCCTCTCGGCTCTCCTCACGGCACGCGCCCACGTGGACTCCGCAGATCGAGCGGCTGCCCGGGCGCTTGGAATCCATAGCGTAAGGGCCTTAATAATTAGAACAGGGTTTTGGGCTCCTTTATAGTATAGTCACAATAAGGAACCCTAAGGAATGATGTTGGTAATTATTTAGGCTTCTATATTCACGGACATCTGTCGGTCAGAGAGGCGAGTCGAACGAGCCTGGTGGTACTTTGGCCAATCTCAGAACTTAAGTAGAATGGTTTCAAGACCAGCAATGATAGCTTCAGCTTCACGAAGCCACAGGCTACAGGTGTCAGCAGGCAAAAGCTGGGGCTTTCTGCAAGTGCGCAAGATTTTGTTGTGCCGGGTTTCTTTGTGGAGCACCAAGCAGGCTCCAGGCATTCGGGCATTCGACGACTACCTTTGGTGGTGTCTGAAGTTAGTAGCCCTTGCAGGAATCCGTAAAGGAACCCGTATAGCATGCCTTAGGGGATGCTCTAACAGATGGTTGGCGTCTCGACGTGGTCATAATGATACTACTATCAATGGTCTAGTTGTGGTACCAATAACAGTAATAACAATAATAATAGCTATCATAACGACAAGACGAATCTGTAAGTGCATTGAGTTGGAACTGGTCGACAAAGGCTTTTAGCCGCAGTTTCGATGTCGCAACATCAGCCACCCCAAGGAGGACGTCGTGTCAGCGGAAGGTGTCAAGTCTTCGGTATGCACACACTGAGACGCATGCAATCCGCACTGAGATGACGGCCATAACGAGGCCATCATCGGACAACTTTTTTGGGTGGAGGGCCTTGTGCCTCTCAGAGGTGTTGAAGGATCGAGCTGCTCGAAGCAGGTCATCCGAGGATGTGCCCCTGCTGTGGAGGTTCCGTGGTTATGGGAGGGCCCTGGGTTTCTCCAGTTTGTACATGGAGCTTGGGCTTTTTTGCAAGCAGCGATGTGGAGGGTCGGGTTTAAGGACGGACTTAGGGTTTGGAGTAACCCTTAAACGCTTAACCCACTCCTAAACCCGAAGCTCCTATAGGGGCCTGGGGGGTCCTTATTTTAATTATGGTATAATGGGCCCCAAAACCCTATTCTACTGACTTATTAAGGCCCCTACAGTGGGTTTTGCGGCTGGGGCGGGTCCTTGGCGGGGAGCAGTGCGCGGCAGCTCAGGCGGGAGGTGGTGCGTCGCCTTTGCATCTGGCAGCGTGGCGTGGTGTGCCCGCGCAAGTTGTCAGGCAGTACTTTTGACTCTGGGAGAATTCAATCTTACCCTTCTAATTCCTGCATAGGTTTAGGGTTTAGGGTTTCTGATTCCTGGCGCCTATTCATAAGTTTTTCAAGGGCCCAAAACTACAACCCAGGTCATCATAGAACCATTGTTCGGCCTTTGGGGTCTTGAGTTTAGGGCTTGCTGCCTAACTGCACCTTTCCGGCCAGAACTTCACAGCCCGGATGCAAAAAAGGTTTTGGGCAGTCATAGTGGAACAGCAAGGGTTTAGGAATTCTGGACCCATATCGCGAATTCCAAGCGGTACTTTCACCGAATCCAATATGAAACCCAACGCGGCGATAGTTGTAAAGGGACGGTCGTCGACATGGGGCCTGCTTCTGGGTTCCCCGTAACCAAAGCCCAGGAAACAAGGACAGCACATTCAAGAAAACTGGAACTCTGACCGCTTGAGCACAACACCTAAACCCGGTTCCCAAGCACGCCGGCTGCCCGGTCTGGCGACAAGCCTGGGGATTAGGACAGGTTGAAAGTGTTTGATGGTTTGGGGTTTAGGACATCCATGGCCCAGGATAATTCTTTTTTGTCTTGGGGCATTTGGGTCGAGGGTGTCTCGCTATGGTCAAGTGCTAGGAAGTTTTAGGTTGGGGTTCAGGCAGTTGACGGCACGCCTGGTACTAGTTAAGTAACTTACTTGAAGTTGCCATAGCTATAGGGGTCTACAGTAAAGAACATGGTTTCCTTAATGTGGTAATGTACACTCAAGTTCGCTAATGCTAAACCCTAAACAATGGAAACTTAATTTAAGTTCCTAATCTTAAACCTTAAGTAACAGAATCTCAAGCTAACCTCCTTAACAAAATCCAAGGGCCTTGGGTTTCGGATCGGCTTGAGTTCGCTTATTTGAGAACTATAGTAAATCATACTGGTCCCGTGTCATGGCAACCCTGAACCCTAAATCCCTAAGCCGCTACACGCTCAACCCGGGGGTCATCCGATGAACTTGGAACGATAGAGGGAGAGTGTAAGTCTTAAGCTCGAATCCCTGAGCAAGAGCACAGTAGCCTGGGTTCG